ATAGCCCAAATAATCTTTTTACACAGAAAAACAAGGCTTTTTTTGTCCCACTCACGTATGCTCTTTGACTTAGAGGACCAAATGAGGTGTTGGCTATTGTAGGGCATTTAATCATTACTGTTTATTAGATTTAAAAGTAATGCTGAGGATAAGATAGGAAGTAGCATATGGTATCACTAAGGGATGGAATGAGCAGAAATCATAAGTAGAATCTTGATGAATAAGGATAACCGGAATTTAAGTCAAGTAAGTTTGTTAAGCAGGAATAGCAGAGCAATAAATGTGTTATGTTTCCATAGTCTGCAAGTCATAGAAAGAGCTTTCACCTTATTAACATATTTATATACAAAAAATCCTATTATCTTAAATTTTATATTGTTATCAGAAGAGGTTTCCAGCACCTCGAGTACTGTACACATCACTGAACCTGTGCTTAGTAGATGTTTCCATATATAAATGTCAGAAATCTCTCTGACATTTAATGTGCTTACATAAGTTACATTTCTCCCGTAATCAGCAACTTTCTGTTAGTGTTTTTGGAAGTACTCCTTGCTCTTGGTGGCTTATTTTTGTCTTTCTTTTACATTGCTCTTTATTCCGTGCTGTAATCTTTACATTTCTTGCCTGTTGCTGCAACATAGCAACAGAATTTGCTGTGCCATCTCAGCATTGCATTGGATTTTATTTCACTTGCGGCACTGAGTGATTCAGTTTAGAAACAGAAATTGTGTTGTCTGCCCTGAACCTTTTGGGGTCCTTTGAGAATTTGTGATTTCACAGCTAATGTCAGGGGTTTCCCACCTTAGCATCAGCCATTGGTTCCCCAGAAATTACTTAAGAGAACAGGGTGGCTGAGATGCAGAACAGCTCTCTATCTCCCGATGTATAAATGTCTGCTGTTTCCCCAGCTGTCTTAATTAGGCAGATCTGTGTGGTTCAGAAGGCTGATAAAGCTCCTGTGATCCTCTTCTCAGTGCCATTCCCTTCAGGCAAAATGCAGGTGCATCTCCGCTTCAGATTGTTTTGATAAAACATAAAGGAAGGATTTTCAGAGTAGTTTGGGCTGCTTTGCTTCTGAGGCACCTAGATGCATCCTTGGGAGGACCTGAAATTCAGAAGGACAGGCAGAAAAAAAGGCATTGTGCCTTTGTTCTCCTCATTTACTCCCTATTTTCAGGGACTTTCTGCTACTGTCCCAAAAGAACCTTTTGTGTCTGTGTATGATTTAAAAAAATACAGAGTGGAAGAAGAGAAACCAGGGTGTGCATTGATGGTGGGGCAGATGCTAAGAAACATTCCTCTGGGCAATATTTGTTTGAGTAAAAGGCCCAGATGATCAGAATACTCAAGTTCTCCCAAGCTCTGGTTTCAAGATCTTTCTGTTCTCTCTCACAGGATGCAGTCCAACTCTCTCACTGATCATCTTTATAATTTTTCATGGCACCAGCAAGACCTGTGGCGAGTCCAGTGTGGACAGAGCTATTTTCTGCCCACCCTCAGATACCGTTGCAGCACACGTCTGACTGTGCTATTTGCTAGCAGCTCAGATGCTGGAGCATCATAGTTCCAGCTATCTTCTCACCTATGTGTCTGTAGGTTATCACAATGCCATGGCAATGAAATTGCAGACAAAAGGTTCTCAGCTGTTTGATGAATTTCAGCATTTGTTTAAAATCCATTTCACTTAATGACTGGGGATTTTTCCTTGGACACTGGCACTCGAGGGCATTTAGGCACGCGTCTGTATTGCTGGGGGGTTTTCTGTACTTTTTAGTGAAGGTAAAGTGACTGTGATTCAGTCTCCCTTCCTTCTTTCTCTCCTGATTCCTCTCCACTTTGATGCTTTTTCTTTCCAACAGAGGAGTGATAAATGGCCCAGAGTGGAGTTTGATGAGGTCAGGAGTTACTATTGGCTGTAAATCCTTCCTGCTTGTTGGTTCAGCAGCAGTCTCTGGCCTTGGACTTTTATGGCTCTTCAAGTGGAGGAGGGGACAGGAGCAGGATGCGCTGCCAGCACACCAGAGTGATTTGCCAAAGGGTTTTATTTGATAGCTTCATGCCTAAAGAAACTCCTCAGAGCCCCGGAAAAGAAGGCAGTCCTTTAATCAGCTCTTTGTTTCTAGCTGGCACTCTCCTTCTTAGGGAGAACCGGCCTACCTATTGCTCATGGAGCCATAATGTTAAGAAGAGATCATTAGAGCTCACCATTAGGATGAGATGATCTCTGAACACAGACAGCTTAGATACAGAGATATGGAGATAAATTGCTGTGTTAACATTTGTAGCTGTGTCTGTCTGAATAAGCAATGTATTTACTTCAGTTGACATCCAAGCGTGTGAGGTGAACCTGCATTACTTTTTGGCATTCTAACAACCCACCATATAATGCATGCTGCAGTGTTTGCAGACTATCAACTTGTAAATCCAAGGTAGTTGGTGGCTACCTAAAACCACCTTCACTGTGTTGATTCTGGCAGAAGTGCCAGAGGGTAAAGGTATTGGGGAATGGTGAGCATGGCAAAGGAGCTACTCTGACTTAGTCCCAAGTACCTGTGCCCTTGCTGCACATAGCAGAGCAGGTAAGGAGAAGCAAATGGACAGATAAAAATGTAGCCTAGCCTGTGTCTTTTGAAAGTTTCACTGGCTCAGGCAGCCTGCCGTTCTTTTTGCATTGAAGAATTCAAACAGGGATGGAAAGGAAACATGCTTCCCTACAATGGTGCAAAATGAGTGTTGCCGCTTCATGTTATCTAAGCGTTTTATTCTTCCCAAATACCACCGTCACCAAGTAGGTCAAGAACTTGTATCTGTAGTTGGAGACCTCTTGAGCAGAAAATGAAGCACATTTATTAGTGGGTAGAGAATAAGTTTATTATTTACACAGAAGTATGTTTAAAACTCAGCGGAACAGAAGATGTTTTTCTAAAAAATTTAGGATCGTAGTATCATTAAAGTTGGAAAAGAGCTGAGTACAGAGGGATGATCACCTCCCTGGTTCCTGCTGCAACACTATTTTTGTTAGAAGCCAGAATACCATTGGCCTTGTTGGCCACCTGGGCATACTGCTGGCTCGTATTCAGCTGAGCTCATACCAACACCCCCAGGTCCATTTCTTCCACATGTGGAAGAAGTGGCTACTCTGCCCCAAGCCTGTAATGATGCCTGTGGCCAAAATGCAGGATCTGGCATTTCATCTTGTTGAACTTCATCCCTTTGGCTTCTGCCTAGTCTGTCCAGATCCCTCTGAAGTGCCTTCTATTCCCAGGCACATCGAACACTTCCTGCCAACTTATTGTCACCTGCAAACTTACTGAGTTTACTTACTGAATTACTTTAGTGAAGAAAAAATGAAAGCTTATATGTAAAGAAAGCTTGTTCAGAAACACTTTCACTCTGAAATTAGACAGTTTAATGAAACCAAAAGTACAATGCCACAATAGAAGAGCTATTCAAAATGCAGCATTCCTCTCCATTTCTCATGCTTTTTTAAGCTTTGGTTTTGTTAATACCATTTAGTAAAATCACAACTCTTCTGGCTGGCTTTTTAGGTTTTGTGATGATATTGTTAATATTCAAGGAGGAGGACAGTCATTAAAGGATTGACATCAAAAATGATGTTTATTTATTTGGATTGCTAGGAGGTGTTGATGTCTTCTGTGTTCTCCGTCTTGTCTCTTTAAACCTGCTCGATCATACAAAAGAACATGAACAGAAGAATTTGCCTCCAGAACTTTTCATTATTAATGATGCTCTATGACTAAATTGGAAATCTGCTACTGTACCCCAAGGGGGTGATTAATTTAGCAGACTAGGAGTTTTGATTAAAAGGGAATGAAATGTCTGACACATAGTCTATTTATCAGTTATTATAATATTAAAACACTCTAATCATTGTGGTGCCTAAATGAAGGCTTCACAGCGCGAATGTCACTTCATAGTGCTCTTGTAGTTCTGGCTGTGTGATACAAGTTTATTATCAGCGGGCACCTGAGAAGGTATGAGTATATAGAGATCTTCAATAGGAATAGAGTGGTTTAGTAAGAGCTCTGCTCTTTACCTCTTCTTGTTGAAGAGGAAGTGAGCACAGATTTTAAGGTGTGATCTGTACTAGTAAGGCACATGCAAGATGCAGCTTCTCTGATGTCACCAGGAATTTATTGCACAGACTTCCTCAAAACTGGACTGAACCTAGAGGCAAAAAAAAAAATAAATCTCAGCTAGCATAAGAATCTAAGTCAAAACTAGTTTCTTACAGAAGGCAGGTGTCTTCTGAGATGAAACACTTGCAATAACAATTTGTGTCTTTAAATTCAAGGTTAGGGCAGGAATCAGCAGCAGTCAATCAAGAAAGAAAAACAGCTGTTGGTGCCAACCACGTGCCATTTAAGCAAGCTGCAGAGTCAGAAGTCAGAAACCAGAGCAGTGGGTCACGTGATTCTGTAAAAATGCCTAAGAAATAGCTGTAAGCCATGGTATTGACTTACCAGACCTACTGAAAGATTCCAGGAGGGAATATGGAGGTCATGGGGCACTGTAAGACCAAACAGCACAGTGTTCATGAAAGATGGAGTCGAATAGCGGTGGTGGATGTTGCTTAGTGTTAAAGTTTGAAATCAAATCAGATCAATAGAATAGCCCTGTCAGCAACTCAAGTTTTACACTTAAATAGGAAAAATACTGCATTACGACTAAATTATCCATTGACTGACCAGGATAGTAACAGTGAGACAGTGACTGTGACATTTTGAGAGAGATCAGAGTGCTTCTAAGGGCAGCAAACACAATAAAGATAAACAATTTCCATGACCCCTTTGTAGCTTGGGTAAATGTCATATCAAGGCCCAACGTCAAGTCTGTTCTTTGAGACCATCAGTGACCACTTTATGGAGCAGCAGTCAAGGAAGCCATAAGAGCAGCTTCTAAGAGCCAGGCCAGTGGACTGTGCTTAGTTTATAACATCATTGTCAAAGGTCCGCTCTGCTGCAGGGACCGTGATGCAGGTAGATTAAACATTCCTGCAGATGCAAGGAAAGCTAAAACATCCACTGATGTCACGCTTGATTTTAAAATGGAGAAGCTAGACAAAACTATAAGAGTAAAGTCATACTGTGTAACATAGAGACAGTTTAAAGATGGTGATGGAATCCTAGAGCAAATGTATCCTATTTATCACGTTGTGGACAAAAAAGAAAAAGAAAAAAAAAGAAGAAGGAAACTAAGATGGCTAAACAGTAGGAAAAGTATTTATAAGACTAAAAACTACTAAAAGCAAGAATATATCCTTCAGATAGATTGGGCCTGACAAATGAGAAAAATAGAAAGGCTTGTAGACCCAGACAGGCAGATAATAGGGAAAAATGCAGTAAGAAAGGCCAAAAGAATTGGAGAAATTTACAGAAAGCACCAAAAAATCCCTAGTAAATCCTGTTTCAAACACAGGAGAAGCAGGAAGCTTTCTGGAGTCTGTAGGACCAGTAAGCAATAACTATGCAGAAGGAGTGCTTAGAAAAGTGAGATGTTTCATGGTATTTGCTGTGGAGGATCGCGGGGGACTCCCACAGTGGGATGTCTTTCCTGGCAGGTTGATGAAATAGGGCAAGTGTTACCTCCAGTGTGCACTCCTGGCTTATGTCCTGGTACCAGAAGACAAACACCAGTTCAACATCCTTTTTAAGTGTTTCCTGTGAGGTTCCCAGAACCCCACAGTGGTAAACCTAGTATTTGCAATAGATACGTTAGCAAACACTGTAATAATAATGGAATGAGTGGGAACATCAGTAAATATCAGTGACAAAGAGCTATCTGGGGGTTTGCAATGAAAATCATGATATACAAATCTGTCGGGTAGAACTGGAGGAGTGGATGGGCCAGGCTGGTGATATAACTTACATGGATTTTCAAAAAGCATCAAAAGGCTGTTAAGGAATGCAGGTGCCATGAAACGACAGCGAGGTGCTTCAGAAAATTGATTAAAATTGGGAAGTGGGAGGTAGAAATAAAAGGTTGAAGTTGTCACTGTGGAGGAAAGTCACAAGTCTGGTTCTGTAGGGATCTGTGCTGTGGTGTTTGGTAGGCTCACAAGCAAGGTGAAGCGGGGCTGCAGTCAGATGGTGAAGTTGGATGATGAGCTCAATTTTTTCAGGGAAATGAATCAGTTTGCAAAATGACCATCTTAAATTGAGAGCCAGGTTAGGGAAGTGCAGATGAAATTCAGTGCAGATAAACAGAAAGGAATGTAAATAGGAAGAAAGAGTCCCAATATTTTTATCACTCAGGAACAGTGGGGTTTTTTTTTCCTGTTTTTTTGTTTGTTTGTTTGTTTGTTTGTTTTGTTGGATATTGGTAGATAAGTTGAAGTGATTGTCAGTTCAGGGCTTTCAGCAGTGGTTAAAAACTCATCAAATTGAATGCTAGGAACAGAATAGACTAAGTGGAAACCATAATTATGCCACTTTCTAAATCCAAGCAGTACATCCATTGTGAGTAGCACGTGGTGCCCTGCCCTCTGCCCCTCAGGAAACACATCAGATGTGAAGGAGGAACAGAGCAGGATGACCAAAGCAATGTGGGTGCAGAGTGGCTTTTGTGACAGGGACACCTGAGTAGATTAAGACTTGTCACCTTCGAAAAGAGATAGCTGAAAGGAAGAGATTTGATACAAGTCTATAAAACCATATGTAGCCTGGAGAAAGTGACTGAAAAAAAAATGTTCTGCAGACTGTTTTGGAGGCAAAGATCTGATAGGAATCATGTCAAATAAAGCTAGAAGGAAATGAATTCAAAAGAAATTAAATATGCCAAGGTTGGGGACTTCCTTGACACAAAAAAAGTTGTGTGGCATGTTACTGTTATAGCAAGAGTCACACAGCTTCAGAAAGCACTCCAAAAATTCAAGGATGAAAAAGAATACATCAGGAATGATTAAAACACAAAGATGTCAGCTTTGGGTCTGTTAAGTGTCCGAGGTAAAAATTAGCCTGGAAGAATATTCTTCCACAAGCTCATCCTGGTTTTATGCAGTCTTACAGACGTCTGTGCTGCTTGCTGTACAATGAGATGCAGGTGCAGGGCGAGGCAGCTTTGTTTTAAGTAGTAGTGTTAAGTGTGGCTGGAGAAACATCTCAAGAGTTTTCATTTTGGATCTGCAGCCAAATGGGAAGTAGAATGAAGTTGAAATATTCTTTACCTTCTGCAGTACTTAAACAGGTCAGTCCCTTAATGACATTTTGTTTCCATTTTCTTTTACTTCTTCTGGTACTTAAATATTAAGTGCTGTGTAATATGCTATCCATTATTTATGGCAAGTGTGTGAGTTGTACATTCCCTAAGACATCAAGCCATCACTATTGCCCTCAGGATGGGTAAATCAGATTGCTAGAGAAGAAAATAGGCTAGTAACATTCAGTGTAAGCCTTTTTCCTCCTAAAATCTGAGATATAGTGAATGAAAGTGTGTTGTGCCAGTGGAAGGAGGGGTTGCACAGAGATCCCATTAGGATGACATGCTGGAAGGTAAGAAGGTGCCTGGAGAGCTTCCTTCTGATCTGGCCCTGTCCTTTGGGCAGTGGTGACCAGAGTCCTGCCTTGGTATTGCCCACCTTCTCCTTGTATTCCCTTCCTTGGAATAGCACAGCGTTGCTGTCCATGTTGTAATGGTATGCAGTTTTAATTTGTTGGGCCAAAAGTGCTTGTTGCTCTGTCTCTGCTAAGCTCAGCCCTCTGCACCAATGAATTTGAGCCTCTGGCTTTTGACTGCCTAGCTTGTGAAGGGCTTTACAGAATATGACCGCTGAGGAGAGGCTGAAGGAACTGGGGCTGTTTAGTCTGGGGAAAAGGAGGCTGAGGGGAGACTTTATTGCTTTCTTCCAGTATCTGAAAGGTGTTTACAGTGAGAATGGGGTTGATCTCTTCTCACTGGTGACAGGTGACAGGATGAGAGGAAATGGCCTCAAGTTGCACCAGGATAAGTTTAGGTTGAATATGAGGAAGCACTTATTTACAGAAAGGATTGTTAAGCACTGGAATAGGCTCCCCAAGGAGATGGCTGAGTCACTGGGTGTGTTTAAAACCTGTCTGGATGCGGTGCTCAAGGACACGAGTTAGCTGAGGGTTGTTACGGTAGTATGGTTAGGTTGTGGGTTGGATCTTTAAGGTCTTTTCCATCCTGAGCGATTCTATGAACATCAGGTGGCTTACAGGACCAGGTGTGATTGTGTGCCCAGCATGGGTACGCTGAGCTTTCTAGGGTGTTGTTTTGCTTTGTTTTTTGTGGTGGCTCCTCTGAGAGGTGTCTGTAGTGCCATAGGATCCAGGGTCATGTGAGAATTAGGGTTTCTCCCAAATACAAAGCAGCCCCTCTCCACAGGTTAGCCTGGGAGGGGATCCAGAAGTTGTTTGCTTTGTCCTCCTCACTACATATGCAGAGATATGTCTCTATGAAGACAGGCACAGAAGTGAGCACACAGCTGAAAAGAGATCCAGAAATGAAATAAGGGGCAGATGAGGATGTGTTTTTAAGAGAATCAGGATGCAAAATCAAGGAGGGAAACTTCAGGGATACAGTCTTAAGATGCATTATCAGAGAGAACAGCGCTTTGCAAACAGTGCTTGTAAAAATGCAACAGGGCAAGGGGAATGTGCCCTAGGAATTAGTGGCAGATATGGGACAAGGGGGGTCTCATCAGTCTTTGTTTTCTGGATTAGTTCTTCTAGCAAAAAAAACCCAAACAAACAAACAAAACAATCAAAGGGATCTGTAGGTGTTGAGATCTTCCGTGGGGTTTTGTTTGTAAATTAAAAAAACAAAAACAAACAAAAAAACTATCAGAAGATAAATGCTTCCTGAAAAAAAGAAAGGAAAACCAATCCCCAGAAAGCCATCCTCTGCACACTGAGCAGGTATGTTCTGCTCCTCCCCCTGCCCCCAAAGGGCAGGCTGGCTCACTGCCCACTGCTGCAGGTGAGGATGTGTGAGCACTGCCTGGCTGCTCTGCTCCTTTTCTTCTACTGCCCGGGTCCCTGCAGCTGCTGCTGCACGAGAATAAGGAGGATGTGGCTTTGTGTGAGACACAGTAAGGTCTTTAGGAGACTCTCTGCAGAGTCCTGCAGTAATGCATATCTTGAACAGGCAGTGCTGGTGGGCTTGGCGCTTCGCTCCTTTGTTTGCCCGTTCAGGGAAAATATTGCAGTTACCTCCATAGTTAGTTTTAAAAATGATAGAAGGCAAAACGTTACCTGGCAGGGTGACAGGGGAACTGTTGTGCACAGAGAGAGCGTCCGTGTTTTATCCAGCCCTGTTCAGTTATTCCTGAACAACTGGAGCACATTGCTGGACTGTTCCCTGCAGAGATTCCTGCATCTGACAATCTGCTTTCGGCAGGATTTAGCACTGAAAATCAGCAAGTGTGAGTGAGGCACAAAGTGCTCAGCCTGACGGAGGCCTGAGGATAACCAATGCATGGAAGTGTGGGGAGTTTCTACATTTCTGTGAGAATGCTGCATTCTGTATAGTCTTTTTCAGTATCTTCAATTCATTGTTCTGGATGTTGTTTTAGTGACCTGGAGCTTGCCAAGGTGGAAATTGTTAGAGAGAATAAACCCGTCTGTGAGTTAGTGACAGAAATACCACTGCCTTTTATCTGCTTTTCCTGCTTTGATTTCTCAAGAGCTTACCTGAGCTGTCTCTTGTCCAAGGGCTGCTTTTATACCTGTGCCAATAAGTGGTGGAGCGCTCACGAAGGGCACAGCACAGTGGCAGCCTGGGAGGGAGGCAGTGAAAGGCTGCCTTTAACACTGCTGTACCTAGAAAACCCAATTTTCAGCTGTATGTGTCAGTGTGGCAACTCCTCTTGTTCCCAACCGGCATGCTACAGGGTAATTGAGAATACGGCTTATTGCAGGCTTTTGTTTCTCTTCCAAGATTCATTCCTTTTCATTCCTTTCTGTGCTGAGTATAATAAACAGAACAGGAGCTGTAGGCAGTTTGGCAGGGGAAACAAGGTTCAATAACTTAAAAAAAAAAAAAAAAAAAAGGCAGAAAAACAAACAAAAAGCAGGTCAGTAGAGAGCTGGAAAGATGGAAAGATGCCTTTGACAGAAGAAAAGTAGAGGAAGCAAAAGAAATATCCAAGCTGTTTCCTCTGCCCTTCTCAGTCAATGTGAATGGAAGCTGTGAATGAAGGAATGCTGAGACTTCTCTGTTTCCCAGCCAGGCAGGTGGGGCCTTCCTGGTGCTCCCTTACTGCTATCAGATCCGCTGACATCAGCATGGCCCACAGCAGAGTTGCTTGATGGCCCTCATCACAGGAGTGAGGCTGTTCGCCACGTGTGGGGTTACAGTGATCCCAGGTGGCCCAATGAATCTGAGTAACTGGGCTCTTAATTCCATAAGCAGCCTGCAGAGAGATCTCTTTTCTCTGGTGGGCTGGGTTTGGTGAAAAATTGAAAGAAAAATGACTGAAGGAATGAAAGAAATGTATTCTGGTTCTGTTTTATTTGTGTGTGTCAAGCTTTTGTGTACATAGAAATGCAGATTTATGAGATCTCGAGAAAGCAGCACTTGTATCAATTCCTTCCCCGGAAGAATCTAATAACTGCCAGGTTCTCTTGTTGACATAGGGAGGATCATCATTTGGATTTAATCCAAACACTAAGTTTTACAGATGAGCCTAAGGCACTGCTAGTGACATATTATCCCATGTCTCCTCATAGTGATATTCCCCTTTTCTGAATAGGCATAGATGAATCTTGAGGCAGATGTGCATTAAGAATCCCTGTTTCTGTGTTTTACTTGGACTATGCAGCTACAATTCAGGCAACTAGAAAAGGGCTAAATAGCATTCGCTGCCCTGCTGGGGCCCCTGCTCTGCCCCCAGTAGCTGCCAATGGTTTGCCCTGGGGCAGCTGGACAGAAAGTGTACCTCATGCCACAAGAACCGGGCGCTTGGGGCTCCTGCCAGGCAAGTCAGCTGAGATAATCCGCTGCCTGTGACCTCATTAAAACAGCCTGATTGGGGCTGCTAATCACATAAATAAAGAATTAAATCATTGCATTAACCTTCTGCAGGGAAACCTGCCCTGGCAACACTGACAGAATTAGATCTATTAATTATTTACAGGGTCATTTGATAGAAATGTATATAGATGGCAGATTATGAGCACTTGAAGTTAGCCATAAATTATTGCTCTGATAAGAAGTTTTTAATATTTTCTCTTAATGTCCTGAATTAAAAGCCACCTTGCTTTTATCTCCGTAAGACAGTAGCGGCACACATCATTTACTGCAGGTAGATCAAACAAATGCCATGACCCAACAGCAAGGATTTGTGCACTCCTCTCTTTTTATGAGGCTCTTTGTTTTGTTAGCAGTCCCTCTTGTGCAAGCAGGATTTCTGTAGCTAAATTTGGGGCCAGTTCCTCACCCACTGTAACTACTCAGAGCTTCTGTGGTGGCAAAGGTGCTCGGAGGACCTGAGCTTTGCCTTGCCATCACTGTGTGGCTAATCTGGCTCACCAGCTATCTCCAGCATTTCCCACTGCCGCAGAGCACTCAGATGCTTTCTGCAGTGGCTCTCTAGTGTTAAAAGTATTCAATTTCATTAAATGCTGCGTTGCATTTCCCTTCTATCCAAGGATTGCTTGGAAAAAATGCTCTTGAATCAAATGGGATGATAAGTTCATTATTTTACTGATTCTACTGGGCTTGCAGGAATGACAATGGCACTAGATAGGCTTGTTTGCTGACCAGAATTTGAATGTGTATCTGCAGCTAGCACACAAAAGATTTGGGCATGTGGAGTGGAGGGAGGGTGGGGAGACTGAAGGGAAATCTGTCATTATTTATGGAAATATCCAGTATTCATGGAGCCATCTGCTGTGAATTATTCAAGTCTGAGAAGTGTAATAAAATGAGGAAGCATAATGTAAAAAGAAAAAAATAAAATAAAAAACCTGGCATCGCTCAGAAACCTGAATGCGTAACCTCAGAATCTCTCTTTTTAAAGATGGTTTGTAAATCCTCTGCCAGATTGAGAGATAAAGATAGATGATATTTCTCAGGTTTCTCTCCTCACCCTTCTTGGAGCAATTCATTCCATTTGTTCATTTTCAGCTTTTTAATTATTGATCATGTCTTTTCTTTTTAACTTCCTCACTGTTTGGGGCTGAGACAAGGGGGTGTTAAGAAAAAGGTGTCTGGGAGACTGCTTAGACCTTGAAGCATTGAGAAGGTCTTTCTTGTAGCCGTCATTTTCTCAGATATCGAAGCATCTGCTTTGTTGCCAGAATTCGCATTAATATTAAGAAATTTTATTATGAGTGGGACCCTCATAATGCTCCTCTGGGCCCAGTCACAGGCAGAGGTTCGCCTGCTGTCCTGTACTGTGTCCTTTCTGATTGTTCCCATTCCTTATTCATTGGTTTGATCATGTTCTTCTTTACACAGTCAGTACAGACAGACTGTGGGGAAACTGAGGCAGAGCAACACAGTGATCTACTGACAACACTGGGGACAGGCTCTACTTTTCTTGATTATTTCTCTGGGAACAGAGACCTGCTGCAAGTCCTTTTCTTGGGAGCAGCTGGAAATCCCTGTGAAAAGTTCTGTCTATCTTGCTTCTCTTATTTTGGTTAGCTTTTTAGTGGTATGGCATATTACTAGCAGGTGCTGTGGTGTACTTGTGTGCATTTGTCTTGCTGTACTTCCTTTCATCTCTATCACTTTGTTCTCTGGCTACTTGTGGCATGCTAGAGTAGAAGTTGATCTTCAGCTGCCGTGGTGTTTGCAGTCCGTGGCTATGCATTTAGAAATCTCCCTACTATTGCTCTGACTTTCTAAAATACTTCCTTGCTTTATAATTTGCCATTAGTTACATTGGTTTATCTTGAAGCTGTGCAATAGTCCTGTTCTCCATACAGCTTTTCTTTCTTCATCCAGTATTCCAACTCCATGCCTTAAAAATTCCATCTCCAGCCTAGCAAGCACATAAAAATGTGCTGAAGCACCACAGATTTTGATTCTTCCCTCTTCTGCAGGCTTGCTTCAGTTCTCGAGGAGCTTGTGGTTACCTCAGCTGAAATGATCTCAGAGGTAGGTTTCACATTTGATGCAAGATGCCTTAGCTCCCACTTCAGGAGGCAGCATTGTTTTCTCAGCATCCCCTTAGCACAAGAAACAAATCCTTTCTTCCATGTGTAATTTGTAAGCTTTCAGCTGTGGGTTTGTTGTTTGTTGTTTTTTTCCCCCCAATCTCTGCAGATAAAATCTGCAGAAAGAGAACCTGGCTGTGGATTACAAAGTTGTGGGATAATAACAGTAAGGTGTTAGACAGATCATTTATTCCCTTCCTTTCTTTAATTATATAGGACTTGTTCCAGCTACATTCATGCTGAGTAGGATCTCATTCAGCAAACAGCCTCTCAGTAATCAATATGCCTGCGGGGGAGGAAATACAGAGTGCCAGGTAAGGGAACCTTTGCTTCCTGCCCCAGGTCACTCGATTCTCTCAGCTCCATCAAAAGTTCTGTTTAGTCCAGTAATGAGAAGCTGATTGCACTGAGACATCTGTGAGGTACACAATTGTGCTGTCTGCAGCACATTGAAGAATGGTCCTTTGTTTGCTTGGGACACCAAACCCATTGCAAAAAGCAATATTTGCAGCTAATCACCATAGTGATTTGAATTTTCATTTAGCCTTTGTGCTAATAGAGGCAGCTGGAAAAGGAAAAAAAATCAGCACAAATAAACACAACTACTAAGTACTCTCAGTTTTCAAAACCAGGAGCTGCTGGAAGTAAATGCTGATGCCTCCAACTCAAGAAATCTTTTAAATGTGAAATGATATATATGAGGCCAGGAGAGGAACACATTTTATCTTGTTTGCTTAGACTCCAGAATAGATCTCTGAGTCTCTGGACATAATGATTGCTTAGGCAAGTCAAACACTGTATATCACCTGCTGAGCATCTGATTCATTGACTCAGTGGATTGAAGCCAATTTAGCCAGCTGGAATCTGTAATATTGACTTCTATGGTGTGATACTGATCTATATTACCCAGAGGAGTTGGCTGAGAGACAAAGAGAGGTTGCATTTCCTTTGGGTGACAACTTTCCTGAAGGCCAAGGTGGACAGAATCTGTCTCACAAAGCCTGGTTGTCTTAGAAGTGGTGTATATGGCCCACACAGTACTATGAGATTTTGTTTTTCCTGGACTTTCAAGCAGGGTAGCAATCAGGGACAACAGCCTCTTTCTCTGTCTCTATCCCTCTATTTTGAGCTATTATGATCTTATTGCAGTCCTGGTATGGTTTCTCTGCACATACTGACTTCTACTGTGCAGACCCCTGCACTGATCTGAGAGAAGGGAGATGACCCAGCTCCAGCTTTCCCTTCTGTCTTACCAAAGAGGAGGCAGATGTCGCAAACCACCCTCCTTGCTTTTCAGAGAACCCAGCAAGGCAGTATAAGTCACAGCCACGAAGAGCAGCTGGGGACAGGCAAAGCAAGGCAAGGCCCAGCGCTGTGAGTACCAGGCCACCCTGCTGCCCAGCACTGTGGATATTAGAGTGACAACGTTACAGTACTATTGCTCGTCATTATTTCCTAGGTAAGTAAGTGACTACATTTCACTAAATCTCTACAACTTCTGCATCTCCATAAGAAAAAAAAAAAAAAAAATCCACAAGGAAAAAAGGCTAAGCAGAATTTACTGTTGTTCTTTATTATGATCAAAATTTTTTCCTCTTTTTTTTTTTTAAGATTTATGAACCTCTATTTAATTGATTCATCAGCAAACTGAAAAAGCTTATTGTGGGTTCATACGCATTTCCATAGGCACGGGCTCATTCATTCCCATGCCAGATGTCAGAAATATGTGATCCATGCAAATGGAGCCTGGCTTGTGGCAGACTGCTGCCCGATCTGATTAACATTGTGACTCCAGTTCACCCTGAGTAGGAACAGAGCTTAGGTTTTGCAGAATTCTAAGGCTAGGGGCTAGGCACAATTAGAAACGCAGAGCTGAACTCTGGTGTCTCAGAGGCTCAGTTTTGCTGTGCTAACACTGTTACTGGGATCAGATATGGGAAAACGATGCAATAAGCAGAGTCCTTTACCCACAGGGCCTTGGAGACTCTGCAGTGCCTCTACCCAATCCTCGCAACTGTTTGCAGGGGTAGAAGGGACTTACCTATGAGCTTGAATTCAGGGTCATGCTGCATCCCTCTTTGGCTTGCTTTTGACCCTTCTACTGCTGTTATTCCCCCTAGGTCACAGAGTACCAGATTGCTCATGCAGAACACCATTTCACTTGCTGGGTTCTCCTGGGCAGCATCAGGATTTATTTGTTGTTTTGTGGAAGAGATGCTCACTAGGTGAGTCAAGTCCACGAGGCCAGGACCACGTGTCGGCACCTCATAGCTTCCTCTGGACATAGGGATTCTCTTTAGGGAAGGTACACTTTTTTGGGGCTGGTTGAGATTTTACGTTTTCTAAGGCAGGGCTCAGCCAACCGTGGCCTGCTTTTATTTTTGTTGTTACTAGCATTATTAGGACACAGCTTGTTTTCCAAGATAACAGTGTGGAAAAACAACAGCAGCTTGCAAACTCTTTCAGTATGCTGGTTGCAGGTTGTGCTCTTTTATCAATGTCCTACTATGCTCACTGGAATGGTTTATAAACTTTGTCTTGCGAGCTATAAAGGCAATGAAAATATTGAAATACATCTCTCCCTTCCCTGTCAAATAGACCTTCCTTCTTCTAGTACTTTTCTATCTGTGAGCTGTATTGTAGGGATCTTGTTTAGCATTTAAAAAGCTACTGCTGCACTCTATTATCAGACATATTTGTTAAAACATGCATATGAAAGGATTTGTAATTGAAGTACAGCTTTGATATATTTAATAGGATGTAAAACTGCCATCCCTTTTTAATAGGAGATGCTTTATGTGCATTAGTAGTAATATAATAATGCCTCTCCACTGAGCTCTACCCATTAGCAGACTTTTTTTTCTCCCTTTCTTTTAGTTAATCTTAAAATTTTAATGTAATCTAAACACATTAACATCTTTTTTCTCCCCTTTCTATACTTGGAAGTGCTTTGAACTGAACTTTGTTTCAAATAAGAGATAGCTACAAACATGGCATCAATATACAGTGCCCCGGCACTGCCTGACAGATGGCCCATAAAGCACAGCATCTCCTTGCCTTGGAAATGGTAACAGTAATGGGAGTGTGGCTGTATGTGGGAGTGAGCAAGCAAGCGAGCACGTGCAAGAATAACCTTGTAAACAGCACACCACGGTAAGCGTGTGCTTTTGTATATTCCCATGTCTCAAATGTAATCAAACACCACAGCAGCAGAAATAGAAAATGTCAAAAAGAAAAAAAAAAGTCTCTTTAATAGCTGTCTCCATTTTGCAACCTCAGAATGCTTTACAAGAACTCATTACAATTCAAAAAATAAGTATATAAGCTGGCAATCTTTTAATAGGCCCAAACTGACCAGTGGTTTAGGGTACTTGTGGTTCGGTGCCTCACTTTACGCACAGCTGTTTTCTGTTCCCTCCAGACCTCAGGATCATGCACTACTTTGCAAGCTGGCTATCAAGAATTGGTAAAAAGTGCTCTGAAAAATCCTGGATGCGTCTCATGACCGTGTCAGAGAAACAAAGGTAAGATTCCACTTGTCCTGATTTCTAGACCATACCCCACTAGCATCCAGCAGTGTTTATTAATTGTGGTTGTTGTAAGAGTATTCACAAAATGTCTGTGATGACGTTGCTCTGTTAAGAAAAGGAGCCCTTTCAGAAAGAAAATCTCTCCACTTTGATTCAGATGCACTGCTGTATTGGCCATGATGAAATTCCCATTGTGACTGTGTGAGTGTACTTATTGCTTTTCCTGAGAACGTCTTTTGATTCATTCATTCGCTAATGTCTTGGAGCATTTTGAACATGAAAATGTTGTGCCAGTGATTTGCAGGAGATAGATAGCTGCAAGCCATGGATGCAGTGCTTTCAGAATACAGCTTACCACCCTCTGCGCATGTTCAATTTACTTCAGTACGTGTGAGCAGGCACACTGTGTAGCCATGTTTGGGTGACTGTGGGGATGCTGCTGTTATCCAGGGCGTTTTGTAGGAGGTGGTCACAAGGACAAGACTCTTTTACTCTTCTCCAATTAATTTCTGAATGAATGAATGTTCTCTAAGCTGATAAATAACTGTAGGATGGTATAAGCGCTCTGTCATCCTCCAAGTGTGACATAGATGCAGCTTTGCAGCTTTGTTTATAGAACTGTCAGATTCCAACTTGGGACTAAAATTTCCAAGTGTTTCATCTATTGCTTTTTTTTTTTTTTTTCCTCCTGCAATTTAAACGTGGCTCCTCTGGCCTGCATTGCAGCCCACAGTCATGTCAGTAAAGGTGCACATTTATTCCAACAATAGGTCTGAAGCGGTGTATGTAAAAACGTGAATATGTTATAACGTTTAAATTGATATTTCATAACAAGACAGAGAGAACATCTCAATTTCATATGAAGAATAAATACATTATTTTCCTAAAAGCAGGGAATGCAATTCATTCAATTTGCTTTTGGACATATTGCCTTTGTCCAAGTGGGTGGTGTGTGTTTGGGTGTTTATAAAAGGCAGGATGCACACAAGGTGGTTTCAGTGTCTTCTAAAATTTGTTCTCTTTTGCAGCTGTAAATCCCACTCCTGTATCTGCAAACATCTGAATTCCAAATAACAGATGTATTCATTAAGTGTCTAGCCTATGAAAAAAGAAATCCAATGCTTTTTTTTTTTTTTGTGATGAACTTGGTCTGCAATAAGGACCACTGTAAAGTAAATGTAAGTAGAACCTTTACAAATGAATTATCAAGCCACAAATCAGGGATATTGTCATTGATTTCAGTTTCAGCACACACCAAACTGCAGTGGGCACAGTGTAAATGCCAAGTCAGACACGGGTCATCGACTCCAGGTTTAAGTGAACCTGGGCAAAGTGCTGACCAGCTACTTTGGGGTTAGATGGGTGAAACATTTTTAAAAATTCCAGAAAAAGAGAATTGGCTTTACCGAAAAGATGGTTGTGAAAGAGCTGAAGCAGCAGTCCTGCAGTAAAGACTTTGTAAGAATTTTAGCCTGGATTTAAAACAAAACACAGCAAAAATAAGCGAGCCAAGCTGGCAGTGAAATCTTGGACAAAGCTAACTGTGCCCTGCAGTGCAAGCTCTGTATGAGATGGGAGTTCACCACACGCCTAACCAGACTCTGCTGGAGAAAATGCAAATTTTGTATTATCTCAGTAGGTTTTTGCGTTATGTCTTTTCTGCATAAGTTACCTCCTATACCTTTTACTTGTAGGACAAAGCCATTGACCTGGAGCACATCACTAAACACGAGCTGAATTACTGCTTTCTGTCGGACACCGAATGATTGTCACTGGGACTACATCCAGCTACCCGTGATGGATCTCCAGGAAGCCTGACACAGGTAGGAGCAGTTCTGCTTTTTGCTCACATTTGGCTCTGGATGCAGGTAGCTATATTTTCAGAGGAGCTCCCCCACAAGGTAAACCTCATCTGCTGAGACTGATGCGAGTCACTGCAGGTGGTCCTAACATTTCTTTGTTAACTGTCAGTTTATTTAAAAACATTCAGTCCTTTCTAAGGGTCTGGATAAATGTTCCACAGTTTTAATTCTACGTGGAATGTTTAGTTCTCTAGTCCTCATTATACAAATGTGTGAAGAAACCATTTGGGCAGAATCTAGAATAAATATGCTTTCTAATCATAATATGTTTTCTCCATGGTAGATGGTACTCGCATGGTAGTCTCACAGAGACTGAAAGCAATGCTTCATTATATCAATATGCTCTAGTGGTTTATTTCAGAAAAAAAAAAAAGGATTTGCTTAAGACAGAGTAGGCTTGGGAAAAAACAAACAAACCAACCCTCTGAATCAAAGAATGCACAAACGCTTACATGAACTACAGTGGATAGATAATAGACTGTCTTGACTTAAATAAGAAACAAAAGCTCCATTTTAAGCAATTCCCTATGGCCTAGTCTATTAAGTGGCACCAAGAGACTACTTATTCTACTTTTTTAGCATCCGGCTTTTGTTATTGAAGAGAATAAAAGCCATACCTTAAGTCTGATTCAGTGAAAAACTAAGGGACATGGGTTGGCCAAATCCATTGGAGAGATTTCTGACAAGACTTCTCAACCTAGGAAAATTAAAAAACAGAAAAGATGCAGTTTAGCACAGAGAGGCACATTTAGTCTTGTCTGACACATTAACTCTCACTACCCTACTGTAAATCTTCCCTGAACGCAACGGAAGAGATGTGCAATCTAATGCTTATATTCACAGGAACTTTTGCATTAGTCAAAATGAAGTGCTCTGTTGAAGGCATTACTTTCAGGAGACTGAAGGGAAAGGAGGAATTCAATGTCATTTCACTTCCTGAAGTACAGTCTGGAGCTCACCTGAAGAACTGCAAGTGTTAGATGCTCCCACAGAGCAGAGGTATGGCATTTCCAAAATTAGTGCTTCCCTTCACACAGAATTAGTCTTCTGGGAATTATATATCTCCCTTCCTCACTGACACACACAACAGATATTTTAACCTTGAAACATCTTTCTGTCTTTCCTAAGCCTCTCTGAAACTAAGCCTTGCAATCCCAGCCCTTATCTGTGAGGCTGAGGAACTAGCAATTGCACAGTCTTGCTTTCATAGAGTAATTCCAGGAGCCCTGGCTAATGCAAGGTTCCAGCTGTGCAGGAGCAGCCAGAGTGGTCAGTCTCCCCTGGGAAGTATGATATTAATTGCCATTTTTAAAAAATAATAAATGTTTAACTCTTGTCTCTTAACAGGCATACGCTACTGGAATAGGCCTCCTTGTGCTGGCAAGCAGATTTTCTAGATTTTTTTTAGAATTTTCTAGATGCCTTAGTTCTGGCCTGTGGAATAAAAAAACGGAGAGGGATACAAGAAAGAATGAAGGAGCAGCACAGGTATTTATGACAGAGCAGAGGGAGGGACAGTTCCTTAAAAGCCCTTGGAGGAGGCTCTCAGACATTGCCTTTAAGGACAGAAGTGGTGTTTTGGCAGGCTTTGAGTGGCTGCTTCCTCTGTAGTCTAAGTGAATTGTGCAAGGACAAAAACGCCCTGTGTATTCCCTTAGCAAGCGGGTCTCACTTGTTCTCACTGGCATTGTCTTGGAGCTTCTGAGGCTCATTTTTAGGCTCTCAAGTTTGTTAGCTAGACCAGATTTCAAAAGTGAATCCTTCTAGCTATTATTAGGGTGGTAGACTGCTTGTCTACTCTGTTTGGGGGACTGCCATCAGGGTTGGCCACACTGAGGAAAGTGTGCCCTTCTCTAGAGATGCGATGTTCCCAACTAACATAAACCCATCCTTGCCTCCTGAAAGAACTCAGGCATTGAATTGAAGCAGTACTCTGGTACTTAGGTCCCCCCAAAGGAGTTAGAGCAGCAGCTGCTGTTTCACCTCCTTCCCCTGTGGACAGGCATGGACATAAATTCATCTTCTTACCTGTGCATGCACAGTGGAGAGGAGCTGCTGTATGCTCAGGTTCCTGTGGCAAAGCGGGACTGGGGGCAAGTCCAGGCATTCTAGATAGCTTTCTGCTAGTGCTTCCATAATGTAGCACATCCTATGATGAAAATAAAACGTCCTTTTTACAAACCCAGTCACAATCTGTCTGGTGGGTTGGATTATGGGAAAAAAATAGTCAGTTGCTATTCATGTACATGATGAAAATGGAGGTCTCTGGGGAGCCTGGGCAGTTTGCACACTTGAACCTGTGGGTCAATCATAGGAAACAGGGTGGTGAGCTAGCACCTGGAGAGTAATGAGAGTTGGGTAATGGCATCCAGACAATTACAATGTTGTGTTGGTCTTGTCTAAAATGGAAAAACCAACAGTCTAAAAGGCTATAACACTGATTCTGTAGAACATTAAACTATTACTTTATGCTGATTATATCCTACTGTTAATTAAGGACTTGCATGCTTCCCTTCTTGCCTGTAATGAATATTGCTCTCTGAGTACAAAGTTATCATTGCACAAAATTAATGGCTTTGAGACTGCAGTGATGCAGCTTTCTGGAGTTTGCCCTTCAGCCCTGCTCACCTCACAGAATCTTAAGTGGGCACCCAAACATGCAGTACAGTTGGTTAGGGGCTGATATTAACAAAGCCCCAGACAATGTAATTAAAGATAATTTCAATCCAATTATCAATCAGGTAGGAAAAGATTTGGAGAGATAGCGCTAAATAAAAGCAAATGTACATGATTCAGTAGACCAGATTCCACCCTCATTTGCAGTCCAACCAGGTTGTTAAAACAGAAATGAGGACATCATGTAAGTCAGCACCCACAGAATCATTGTCAAAAATGATCTCATGATGATATTTTGCACTAGCAACTAACATTGTGCATACTTTGAGCTTACTTTCAGTGTAAATGGATGTAAAGACCTATAACTAAAATGAATCATCTTAGCAATTACTAATAGTCTATTATTTCCAATCCACTCCTAAGAAAATGACAGTTAAAAATGAATACTGAAAAAAACTCTACTGAAACACAGTTTTCTTTTTAAGATAGGTAGGTTCAGACACAGTATTCACCAGTACAGAATTTAACAAATCCTAACCTGTCCTACCAAGTTCACATTTACCCACAGCCCAAAGTTTTCTGATGCTATAAAGAAAGCTGCTTTTAAGTCAGTATAAAACTTCCTGAATAGCTGCAACAAATAAAGTAAAAATACATTTCAGGTGGCAGAAATCTCAGGGCATGAGAATGAATTAAAGATGTCATGGGAGACATTTGAAAAGTACTTATAGCTCTCAGAATGAGAAATGTTAATATTCCTCCTAAACGTCATATAATTGGTCCAATTTCATGCACCAGAATCATGTGGATTTTCATAGTTTTTGACTCCTAAAAGGGATAATTCTGAGTGAAAATGGCTGTATTTCAGGTAACCTTTTTTCCTGCCTCATGCTGTAAACTAATATTGCAGTTAAGCAGAGGTTGTGTTTCAGCAATAGCTTGAATGGAAATATCTTTCTGAAAAGCATATGGAGTCCTTTGTGATGAAAGGAATTCTATAAATATAAATCAATTATTTTTGGAGTAGCTTGAAAAATTAAATCGTGACAGACAAATCTTATTCAAACAGTTTTCTAAGTGGCATGATTTTGGGCCAGTCAAAATGTCTACAGAATTAATTTTGTCTCTGGGAAAAGAGGCAGAAAAGATCCAATGCACTCCCATGTGCTTGGCTTTTTCAGTCTGTTGTGGGATCAACCAGCTGGGTCAACAGCAGACTTTTGCCAGGAAAAGGATCAGTGCTCTGGTGTCTGATACCCATCTACCAAAACAGAAAGCCACAGGTGATAAAGCAAAAACACACATTTTATCACAGGATGGAGTATTGGAAGTAAATAGAAGGTGTCGTGAAAGAACAGCCTGGGCAGCAAAAGAAAAGGAGAACCAGTTGCCAGTACAAGAGTGTGAGTCATAGTGAACACGTAAATGACTAAGAAGGGGGTATCATCCCACTATAAACACAGCAAGCACAGGGATGACAGTACTGTAAACATGTAACAAAGTTTGCAAAACTCAGCATTTGGGAATTTCTGCTCAAAAATGCAGAATGATACATGTGCTTTTCTCCTTCCCAGATACTACAATCACTGAATTATTGTTCTAGCAAATTTCTGCATGAGAAACTGTCATACTTCCAGTCTGCTCTGATTACATTCCCAGAAGTCCAAAATTTTGTACAACTGGCACAGAGAAAAACTGAAAAGATGATAAGAATTGAGTAATTCTCTGCATTTCTAAATTAAAATATTTGCAACCCCTCCAGCAGCAAGCAAACTCATGGTTGTATTTTCCATCTTCTTCCTTCTACGAAGCACTACAATTTATTACAACTTTCTTCCTCACATTTCATAGAATCACTAAGGTCCTCTAAGATCATCCAGTCCAAGCACCACCCCATCCCCACTATACTCCTCAATGCCACATCCACACAGTTCTTGAACACCCCCAGGGACAGTGAGTCCACCACCTCCCTGGGCAGCCTGTGCCACTGCCTCACCATCTGGCTGAGAAGTTTTTCCTAATAACCAACCTGAACCTCCCCCTTTCATAGCTGGACTAAATATTTTCCAGCAAAGAATGCTCACTGTGAAAGTTAAATATGCAAGAATATCCAAATTAACAGAGACACTTGCAATAAAGATCTTATTAAGATGTCAAAATTGTTTCAGGATTACAGAACAACTTACAGAACCACAAGGACTTTGCACTCCCTCTTTCTGATCAGTGTTTGGTCGCTGCTTGGGAGATACAGGGAATACGCATTTAAGATTTGCAAACTTAGAGACACCTGTTAATGCCTAACAAACTGCAGTCATTGATGGCTAGAACACAGCAAGAAGGAAGCAGTGACATGAGTTGAGAGGATTCAGGACTCACAGACAGATGAAGCTGTTTCCCACCTGTAGGGCTAAGCCTGGCACGGACAACAGTCCGCATTAAGCTGGCGCTGAGCTGAGCTCCTGCCTGGTTGTGCGAATACCCTGCTTCCAGTCTCGGGTGAAGCTGGTCTGTCAGTCCAGACCTGGAAGAGAAAAGGACTCTTAACACCCCACAGTGTGAAAGAATTGCTGGGTACATGGGTAGGAGTGGCCTCCTTGGGGAGTCAAAGCAGCCAGCTCAAAAAACTGAGCAATCATGCAAATAAACAAAGTAGACCACTGATTAAAATAAATAATAGAAAAAAATAAGAAGGAATGGGGCAGGTTATTGCTAGTGTTCCTCCACAGCAGATTTGGGGCAACCTGTTGAGATAATTTACTGATAAGGTATCATGCATAACAAGGTAACGGTTTGTCTACATTCCCACATTACTCAAGTTTTAAAGCTAGAAGTTCACTGTAAACAGCTGCAGAAAGATCTGCCATAAAATGCCAGATAAAATGGAAGATAAAGTTCAAGGTCAATAAATGCAAAACAAATCATAGATAAAAACTGCAGTAATTGTGCATGCTCAGTGGTACACTAATCAGATAAACTTTCCTAAGATAGAGGCATGTCAGAGTTGATCTAAAAAGTCAACAAATTAAAGCTAAAAAGAAAGCAGAACAAGAGATATTGCTGTGCCACCACAAAAATGTAACATGCCATTGCACCCTAAAAACCAGCTGTTGTTCTGGTCTCAGAAAGGATCCAAGAATGGCTAGAAAGGGTTCCAAAATGGATAATGAAATCAACTGAAGGAAACAACTGCTTTCTGTTCAGAAGTCACAGACAGAGCTTCTGAACCGTGGTAAAGGAATGACAGAAAAGGTTACATGGGAGAAGATCTCAGATGGCACAAAGTAGAGGAATAAACCGGTTACGACTTGCTGACCCTCAGAATACAGGAACCAGAAGCTATCATGTTAAATGCTCAGTGTGAGAACTGGAAACAACAGACCAAGAATACATGCTGTATACACACAGACACTCTGTGCTATGTATACCAAAAATTTGTATGGATGCAACATGTAGTTGTACAACTCATACAGGACAAAAGATGAAGGGCTAGGGTAGTAAGGAAAGATGCTTTGACCAGCTTGGAGAACCTCCAAGATGAGGATTCCCTAGAAGCTGCAAAGATATTGTTGTACATTTGTCCTGTCTTTATCCTCTTCCTTGCCTGGGTGCTGACTGCTCCCATGTGAGATTGAGGGTGGTAAATCCAAGCCAATCTCTGGGGTGTTACCGGGTGCATTTGTGGTTCAAGCACAACCAGCTACAAACGACGGCAGAAAGCCATCCAATATGGCGCCGTACAGCATTTAGGGTGAAAACAGAGATTAAGAAGCCAGATCTATAAGAAGAAAGCAAGTTTAAGGGGATGTGAGCAGATGGACACTCAATTTTGATACACAGTTTGAGACTGCAGCCAAATCACAAGTGTGGCAGAG